ATTACACATGCCTAAAATTGGCCTGAGGAGTATTCCATCTTTGTGTATTTACAACCTTACTAACAACCTTGAGATTGTCGTTCCAGTCGGTCGGATTATTGCGAACGTGCTTGCACATATGGCACCCTTTTGCTTCAGAATTTCGATTATCTTTTGCAGTTTCTGCTCTATCTGTTCCCTGTTGTCCATTTTTAGGGTGATCTTCTTGAACTTTGCGTTGTCACTGAGTTAGTTGTTCATTTTGGACACGCAGTCTGATCTGTTCAGTAGGATAACTCCTGTACCCTTGTCTGGTCTGCACAGAACTACAACATGATTATTCCTCAATGCCTTTAACCATCCTCGGTGTTATGCTGTCACCAGATATTTGATTGCTACCGAGAAGACAATAGCATGTGTTCACTAGTATGGATTTCAGCTGGGCCACATTTTGCGATGAGGAAGGCTATGAATCTGGCAGTTGTGAGAAAAGGTTTTCGAACTCTACTTCTAGATCCGGTTGTTTAGGTCCGCCGATTGGACAACGAAACTGGGGTCCTAGAGATAGAACTTCGATCAACAATTTGTCTAACTTCGTAGAGGAAGAATTGTGCATATATCTTTCAGGATTGGTTGAATCAATAATCATTTAGTTGTTTTTCTCTTTTCTATACAAAATGATGTGATATACATAATGTGACCTATTAGCCAGTTGATGAGTCACCGAAAAAAGCTTGTTCGCTAAACTGAATTTTTCATTCAATGTGTGACTGGTATACTCCGGGAATTAAAACAAATCTAGTAAATGTTTACTTACCCTTTCACTGAAGGACCACATACCAGATTCTGCCAATAATTGTTGTTTGCATTCATTTAACTTTATCTATATTTACACTGACCGCATAGTTAGGCGCTTATTCGGCTTGGAGTGGCCAGTATATCCATTTCAGAAGCTTTATGCCACTCAAACGAAAGAGAAATCTTATTCAATGTTTGGTAAACAGGGCGGTAAAAATATGCACCGATGACACCATAAATGCGAAACTATCATTCATTCGTGATGTTTTCCTACAAAATAGCTATCCAGAACGTTTTGTGGATAACGTCTTGCGAAATAACCGTCCGAGGGAAAGACTTTCAAGTGCAGAGAAGAAGACATTATACAATTCTCTCCCATTCAAAGGGGATACAATCGCAGAATTGGTTAGCCGTAAACTAGGAACTGCGTTAGAGAATACTTTTCACGCGGCAACATTACGTATCGTATTCACGTCCGGACTGATCTTGTGTTCGCAACTCAAAGACAGGATTCCTGCTTCTGCAGTCTCATTTCTTGTGAACCAAGCTTAAGTTCTGATGGCAGGATCAACCATTTCCGGTTTTGTGAAATTGGGACAGAAAACAATGGCAACAATTCCCATTTGAATAGTCATTAGTTTTGTTTCCTCTTTTCTGTGCAAAATGATGTGATATCAAATGGGATGTGTTAGCCAGTTGAAGGGTCACCGAAAGAAAGCTTTTTTGGGAAAGTGCGTTGGTGTATTCCGAGTGTTATATAATCCGTGCGAAAAACCAGTGGTCGTTGAGGCACTCGGTGAAGCCACTTGTTGTGGTAGTACACTTGTGCATAGCCTTACGGATCAAGGATCATGGACTGTCTAGGTCAGCAGCTAAGCTGTTCGGGTAAGCAGTAATTACGTTTCGGTCAGTCAGTTTTATTAATCGAGTCTTAGTTAATTGCCTCATGGACGGATAACGTGATGTTTTCCATCGAAAAGTAAAAAGGTCAAATGTGCGACTTCAAAAACTTATCGTAGATCGGTGAATAAACCGTGCTATGAATCATTGTAAAATATATCACTTTGGTTTTGTCATTACTCATAATTGTGCTTTATTCTCTTTTCGGTTCGATCATAGAGATGCTATCGATTCGGAAATTCTGTCTCAAATCAAGAAAATCGTACCGACGGTAAATTGTCTGACAGTGTGTGTGACTGTTTTTCGCTTTCCAATGTCTCTTTTCGAATGTGACGTGCAGTAAAAACGTTTATACATTTTGCTGTTGACTGAGTCCAAAAGCGGTGTTGTGTTTAT